GAATATGAAAAGAATAAATGTACAACCTAATTAATACTACGTATTACATAATATCATACCTAATATTACTATATATAATACCATACGTAATTATTATTTTTAATATCATGCATACAATTACCATACATACTTGAATTGGTTATCAATATAGATTTCTTAAATTGGTTATAAATCATATTATAGTATTACGCCCATATGAAATAATATTAACATACATAAAATTACCATACATACTTGTTAATATTTAGATTTATTAAATTGGTTACAATTCATATTATGGTAAAATAATTCTTATGCAATATACGATTTGGAAACTCAATGAATATTAAGATTCCGTGCAATGAACATATATTCCATCATGTGTACTCATTTGACCAAAAATATGAAGGTTGGTTCAATAAATCGTAAATATTACTAATTGTTTGGTTAGAGAATAATCTTTATCAATAAAAATTAAAATAATTAAATCTCTATCATATTCATATGCTGTTGCTTTAGGCTTTTGTCAAGGAGCACTACTCACGATCCTCAACACATTGCCATGGCTCCAAATCCTTGTGTTACTCCTATTGGTGCTGGAAGGACCGTCACATCAGGAAAAAAAATATTAATAGTCCAAACTCATTCAATGATGTCCCCTCTCATGCAAATGACCTGCAGATCTAGTTGCTCAGAGTCCACTAATAATCAGATGGTCAATTTTTTTCTATCACTATGAATAGTGCATTACTTAATCTTACCCAGAGTCCAATAATAAACAACTTTTAATGGATTGAGATAAGGTATTAGAGAAATACCTTTTAATGGGTGTAGCAAACTCGTCCAGATTAATGATGAAGAAGATCAGATGATATATATGATCAATATAATCATAGTTTATATAATATATGTAGATAGATTTTAAATTTCACCAATGGTATATATGCTTTTCTATTCTTTATTAAAAAAAAAAAAAAAGAGTTGAAAAAGGATACAGAGATTTACCAAATGTGTAGGTGTAGTGCAACAGCTCTTCTGGATACGCAGAGAATATGGGTCTTGTTCCTCCTCTTCTTGAAGGTCCCTGTTCTCTACACCATTGCTATGCAGTTGCAGAGAATATTCCCTTAGGTTCTTCGTAACTTGGTACTGTTTGTATTGAAGAGAATGTGATGTATATATAGGTGTTTAGATATGATTAAGGGTAACATTTATGATTTTTATTATATTACCAATTACCAATTAAAATTAGAGTTACAATTTTACATTTGCTTACCAAAAAATTATATATAGATACTTAATTTATATTTGAAGAATATATTTACCTAATTTACTTTATATACAGTAATAAGTATGTCTACACATAAATGAATAATATATAATTTATAATTTCAATATTTTGATAATTAATTAAATTAGAAAATTAAGATATTATATAAATGCCGCTAAGTTTTGGGGGAAAATTTATATGGTTTTTATATTATTATTATTATTATTATTATTTTTATTTTATTATGGTTACATTATTTCATAAGATTTTTATTATATTTGAACAATAATATTTTCAATTATATTATAGAATATAATACCATACATAATATAACAATTATGTAATATAACAATTAATAGATTTATTTAATTTCCATTTGACATTTACTTACCAAATAAACTTTACTACAAAAGTTTTGGGGGGAAAATTTGTTAGGAGGATTTTACTTATATATATATATAGATATAGACTAGTAATTATCCCGAACTATTATTAATTTTATAAATTTATAAATTAAATATTTGACATCTTCTGAATTAGAAACAGAAAATCGTACTTAGTTCTTGAGCTCATAATTAGTTTGATTAAAAATGTAAGTATAACTATACAATAGAGTATTTAATATTTTTAAAAGTTATTGTTACTTGTATTATTATTTGAATTTGATTTTTTTGAAAGGAATTTGAATTTGAAATAACTACTTTAATTATATAATTAACGTATTTAAATAAAACTTGTAATAAATAAAATAACAAGCGATATTTGTTGAAAATTTCCACCAAAACTTATTCATTTGAAAAAGATTATTTATGTAAAAACTATATTTATTTTATATTTAATTATATATATATATATATATATATATATATATATATATATATATATATATATATATATATATATATATATATATGGAGTCCAAATTAATTATAATTGAGGTTTAAATGAATATATACACAAATTATATTAAATATAAAATTTTACCAATAAATTTGAACACAATAAACTTTTTTCCATACTTCATTATACTTTAATATATATAGAGATAGAGATAAAGCTATAATAATAAAATATAATTTATAAAATATAAATACACATAATAACTTCAAAATAATATGTATAAATATATTTACCATAGAATTAATGCATTCATATTTGCTAATATTGTTTCTATCAAAATACATTCACATTTTGTGGATGAAAAATTGTGTGACTAAATTCTACTTTATTAGATATAGAGCAAATTACATTTTTGGTCCTATGACTATAGGGGGCGTGTTAATTTCGGTCCGTGACTTTTAAAACTAACAATTTAGTCCTTGAACTATGTTTTTTTTAGCAGATTTGGTCCTCCCGGTCAAATCACCGGTGGAAATTGCCTGAAAATACGTTTGTCATTTTAAATTAAATATTACGAGGGTAAATCAGTCATTTTAAGCGTTTCCTTCTTCTTTGTTTCGTTTGCCATTGTACGAGGGCGGCAGAAGAGCTCAAGCCACTGAATATGGTAAACGTGGCAATCTTTTGACAATTCATCAAAAATCCACGCCGCCTCGCGCGTGCAACCGGAGTGAATGCGACGAAGACAGCGCCGCCGACGAGGACACGTAATTTTCTCCGATCAAATTTTCCGTCAACATTGCTCTACTGTGGACTTATTCTTCTCCTTCTCCTTCTTCACTTAGTCAATTCCAGTAATCATCAAAAGCAATCCTTTGACTACTTCAATTCATTTCTCCAAACTTCATAGATTAACCGAATAAACAAAAGTGAAAATTTATCATTTGCACATGAAACTTTTGGCTTTCTCTCAGTATATGAAGATGAGCAAGATTATAATATACATTATATACGTACGGGGGAGAGCTGGGGAAGAGTAGTCGGTAGTGAAGGGTGACAGGTGGTTCACGGATTCAACGTGAAGTTCCAATATTCAACACTTATTTAAAATGACAAATATATTTCCGGCCAATTTACACCGGTGATTTGGCCGAAAGGACTAAATCTGCTAAAAAAAGCATAGTTAAAGGACTAAATTGTTAGTTTTAAAAGTCACATACCAAAATTAACACGTCCTCTATAGTCATAGGACCAAAAGTGTAATTTACTCTTAGATATATAAAGAAGTTAAAGATAAAGATTTTACATTGCCCCCAATATTTTGGAGAATATTTAATAGGGACTTGTTTGGTCAATGTGCGTGCCCAACAAATGCTTGCATTTCATGTGCTTGTTGCGGCATGTTAAGGGAGTTGCCGGACTTTTCTAATTTTTTCTTTTATTTCCTAAAGCGGCAAAGCTCAGTCCTAATAAAACATTACATTAGTGGTAGATGAGACTCTATGTCAGGATGACAACGAGGCGGGGCGGGACGGAAAATGAAATCTTCGTTCCCGTCCCTGAAATGTCTCCCCATTTCCCGTTTCTCGATAAAGATGGCCACATGAATTTTTTGAAAACGGAGAATCCTCGTCCCATTTTTATTAATGTCTATTTAAAAAAAAAAAAAAACTAAAATCTCGCCATAGCATCATTCTAAAAAACACAGCATAGTTATTTCTCAAAGTCAGCAATATACAGTGATAATGAACCATTGGTCCATTACACGTACACTATGCTTATTTTTCAAACTTAGCCCAGGCTCAACAATATACAAGAACATAGTCCAGACTCCATATACAAGAATAAAGCTCAAATAATTAATATGATTAGCTTCAAATTATTTTTACTTTTATTTTTATTTTCATGGTATCAATAAAATATTTGGTAAATAAATATATAACATTATTTTGTATTATAACTTTAATATTTAATTACAAGATAATGTAAAAAGAACATAAATGGACAATGTAATGAATATCAATTGATAAATCTGAATGTAAAGAATCTTTGCATTGGAGAAAAAAATAAAGACAATATAACTAATGAAATTATTTTTCTTATTTAATTTATTGATAATGAATAATTTTTTTTAATAAAGACAGTGTAAATACCTAATTCTAAATCAAAGAAATGCATATGCATTATTTTTTGTTGTAGCTACTAATTATTTTTTAATTCAATAAGAATGATAGAGTGGGGAACTTAATTATGCCAACTTTGATTGAAATGAGGTTCAAACTTAATTTTTTATTTTTTTTTATTGAAATCAATAAGTAAGTTAATAATAATTAATGATCAATTTGAAAATCTCAAAGAAAAATTAAAATATAAATAATCTGAACCATTCATTTCATTTAATACTTTGATGGATATGTTTTTTCTACTCATTATAAGCCTAATTTTATTGACTTTTATTTGTATATATATAGTATAGATAGATAGTAAATGTTAGTTTATGTGTACTCTGTATTATGTTAGTGTATTCTACTCTACAATTCTGTATATCCGAAATAGGAAATTTTTAAATTTTATTTTTAGAAGTTAACAGCAGAAACGAAAAACGACGTCATTTTGGTAAGGACACACAATGCATTGTGCAGAATATAATTTACTTAAGGGTTCTGGGTATGAGTTTCCTATTTCTATGTGGGCTCTAAAATCAATCCAAGAATCAATATTTGTTAAGAATCTTGTGATTGAATGACACTATAAGTAAAAAAAAAAAAAAGAAAAAACATAAGTATTTCTCTTTTCTTTTTTGGTAATATTGGCTCCCCAAGATTTATGGACACCAAGCAGAAGAAGACAAAGATGAGCACGTATGGCTCTTGTCATGGCTACGGCTCGACGCTCCGGCTCCCTACGAGGTGTCCCAAAAAGCGGTTTGCTGAGGGCCCACCATCTAGGGCTGCGGATTTCGATCAATCCTCGAGAGCTGACGAGATTGATAACTTGGAATCAGCAAAGAAACCCTTATTATCGTACAATTTTACTCCTGCTTCTGCTCGTTCAAAGCATGGTACTTTCGGAGCCGGTGGTGAAGCATCTACGGCTGACAACTGGGGCGCCTCGAAGAAACCCGTTGCTCCACCGCCTGCCAGATCTTCGACTTTTGGTTCGGGAATCAGAGACTCGAGGCCTGAACCTATGCGCTGGTTGCGGGATGGAGTTGAGAGATTGGTTTTGGAATCACCTGAAAATGAACAGGGAGGTGACAATGTGAATGAGGTGCACAAGCCTAACCCAGAGGAGGTGCTGCTGGCAGAGAAAGGTACTTGAAAAAGATGGATATGGAGATCGAGGTGAAATTAACTACTAGTAGACCAACAAATGCGCAATCTAGTATGCCTGGAGACTCTGAAGGATCCGTGAGGGCAAAGCCAAAACGAAAGGAGAAATCGCTAAGTGATGTATTGCTCAAGGTGAAGAGCATAGATCCAAGGAAGACTGATTTGGACTCAAAGCATCAATCAAGTGACAGGTTTGTATTTTTTATTTTATTTTATTATTATCATTATTTTTTGCATCTTGAGATTTAGCTTTATTTATCTACCTTTATGAAGATGTATGATGCTGAAATTCTATGCATATTATTAGTGTTTTTTTTCCTAATTGGAGTGAGGGCCTTAGAGCAGGGTGTCAATCAGGCCGGGTTGTTGAGCTTATTGATTCTGGTTAACTGTTTTGTGTTTAATTGGGTTTAAATTTTTTTTGCCCTAACCCTAAAACATGGCTTGTCAGGCTTATTGAGTTGGCTCATTTGATATTTTCAAATTAACATTTAAAACTTTTAATTTTAATTAACTATAGCATTTATTCTATTAAATATTAACTTATAGATCATTCAATCAATCTACTAGTAGACCAACAAGTGTGCAGTCTAGGCCTGGAGGCTCACAGTTGGAAGTGGTAGAGGAGGCGTTGAGGTCAAGACTAAATGAGGTAATCATAAGGGAAGTATTGTTCAAGGTGAAGGGCATAGATCGGGGGAAGAGTGATTTGGACTTGAAGCATCAATGCAATGACAGGTTTGTATTTTTTTTTTTTAATTTCGTCTTGAGATTTAGATTTATTTGTCTTTATGATTATGAGATTTAGATTTAGTATTTTTTTTTTAATCTAGTAGGCGTGGAGGCTCGCAGTCTGGCCGATCTGAAGGATTTGCATTGCATGGTATGCCTGAAGTACAGGAGGCGTCAAGGTCAAGAGGAAAGTTGGATTCCTTCCGTGTGGAATCTAGTATGCGTGGAGGCTCGCAGTTTGGCCGATCTGAAAGATTTGCATTGCATGGTATGCCTGAAGTACAGGAGACGTCAAGGTCAAGAGCAATGCATGGTATGCCTGAAGTACAGGAGGCGTCAAGGTCAAGAGGAAAGTTGGATTCCTTCCGTGTGGAATCTAGTATGCGTGGAGGCTCGCAGTTTGGCCGATCTGAAAGATTTGCATTGCATGGTATGCCTGAAGTACAGGAGACGTCAAGGTCAAGAGCAATGCATGGTATGCCTGAAGTACAGGAGACGTCAAGGTCAAGAGCAATGCATGGTATGCCTGAAGTACAGGAGACGTCAAGGTCAAGAGCAAAGTTGGATTCCTTCCGTGTGGAATCTAGTATGCGTGGAGGCTCGCAGTCTGGCCGATCTGAAGGATCTGCATTGCATGGTATGCTTGAAGTACAGGAGTCAGGAGGCATCAAGGTCAAGAGCAAAGCTGGATCCTTTCGCTAGTACCAGGGTTAGGGAGGTATTGCTCGAGGTGAAGGGCATAGATCAGACGAAGATTGGTTTGGACTCAAAGCAACAATGCAATGGCAGGTTTGTATTTTTGTATGTTTTTTTTTTTTTTTTTTTTTTTTTCATCTTGAGATTTAGATTTGTTTGTCTTTATGAAGATGATGATGCTGATAATCTATACATATTACTAGTTTTGTGTGTCTTGATTTTTGTGTGTTGTGTCAATTTCATGATAAAGCAGTTTTGAAGAAAATGGAAGATTTTATGGTCAATGATGCAAATGTAATACTCTTTAGAGTGACAATAGTCAGAATACATATTATTAATAGGTGCTTATTATCTCTAGTTTTCAACATATATTCTTAGTTAGTCAGTTGTGTTCCTAAGTATGTAATTACATTTCATTCTATGATAATTAGCTAGGTGGGGTAGGTTTGAACATGATGTATGTCTTTAATGTGTTGTGAACTGATAGCAGGTAGTGAGGTTTGCCTAAAGAATGTTTGTTGTTGTCAGCACAAAGTTTTTTCTTTTATATGCTTAACTGTTGTCAGAATTGGAGATGTATTCTTGTTTGTTTGTTTGTTTGTTTGTTTGTTTGTTTGTTTTGTTTTTGTTTTTTTTTTTTTTTTCTTTCTTTTGTTGTTGTTGTTGTTGTGACTGTGTTTTTCTCTTATACAAATTAGGCCTTAGATATATTCAACATACAATATCACACCAGTTAGATGACTTCTGTCTTCTGCCAAATGAGACATAATACTTGTTTTTCAAATGCATTTGCATATTTGTGTAGCCAGTTGTCTCTTTGATTGTATAAGCATTGGTGTATTATAAGTCCATTACATGACTTAACTATCAAAATTCATTTTCTGAGAACAAAAAATAAAAGAAGAAAATGAATAAATTATCTCTATATCTGGAAGTATTTAATTGGATTGAAATGTTTCAGACCAGTTTCATAAAAAAAAAGAACTCTTTCAGACCAGAGTCTGAAGATGAGAAGAAATTGAAAGAAGAAATAGAGAGCTTGAAAAAGGAGGCCTCTGGTGAAGACCAGACTCGCTTGCATCAGCTGATAAATCAAAATGAAAAAGACTCGAATGTGCTGGTCTATGACTCGGACAAAATTCATCTTAGTGAGAAAGGCATGGAAAGGCCAGGTTCAGGGTCAAGCAGAGTTTCTAGCTTTCCTGAGAGACCCCCTTCTCAGCGAGGATCTTTTGGTGAACACAGAAGTGATGAGTTTGTGGAGAGGCCTAAACAGCATGGCACACAAGATGCATTGTCAAGGCCATTTGATGATAGAATAGCCTTCCACGCTGGTAGAACATGTGGTAGGCCAAGCAATGACTGATGATCTTTTCAGGGTTGTAGAGAGAGAGGATTACTTAGCAGCAGGGACATGGATGAGAGGTACTACTCTCTCTCTCTCTCTCTCTCTCACACACACACACACACACACACACTCACACACACACACACTCACACACACACACACACACACACTCACACACACACACACACACACACACACTCACACACACAACATGCACACACTAAAACACGTGCTTTGTTAGAGAAAACTTGAATGACCCAAACATGTGATAGCTGAAGATGGAAATCACAAAATTTAATGAAAGTTTTTGTAAGTAGTCTATAGGATTGTAAAACTAGTCAGAGACATTGACCAAAATGATCCAATAATTAACAAATTTTATGCATTAGGAATTTAGGATTGAGATATATTTTACGCCATGACATTAGCTTTAGTGGAGAACAAGAGTGAAACAACAATATCGATGCACTTAATATTATTAAAAAAAATAATTTCCACATGCTTGAGATACATTTCAAATTTTTATAGTCCCTTGTACATGTGATATGTGTTTGAATGGAGTATATGTATTTAATTAATAATTCTAATACACTCTTTGTTTTAAATTTGATTTTGCATTAATTTTAACTTAAATTTTTAATTGCCAACATTTTGAGGTTTTTTTTTGGGTTTTAAAATAACGTAGTATCTCCTCTATTTTGTAACATAACAATGCTGCAAATAAATGATATCTATTTTGTTTGAGAAATAATTCAAATTCAAAGTTAGTTTATGAAGATAATGATATCCTCTTTTAGTTTGAAATTATAATTCAACTGTCTTAACTAAAGTAATTCAAAACGTTTTGACCTTCAAGCATCTTTTATTAGTTCATTATCAATACTTGTGTAAATAATCAATTTGGGGCTTAGGGAATAATTTATATGAACTTGACGGGGGTTTTAACTTTAACCAAAAACAATAAGATTCCAAAACAAAATAATGAGCATTATTTGGCTAGTAAATATATAGATTTTGTTTTAATAAGACTAAGAAGTGTTATGATGATAACACAAATTATGGCTGGCTTTTGAGTGGAACTACTTGTGTGTGTGTGTGTGTATAAATGTCACATTTTGTATTCTATTCTCTTTGTACGAGAATTGCACCAGAAGTGGTATCTATCGTGTCTCATTAGTCATTTATGTATAACAGAAACCTTTTATCTCTAAGTGTTAGTTGATTGAGTGAAGTTGTGACAAACCATTTAATTTATTGTATCATATCATTGGCAGGTCAATATCCAACAACATATGGTGAATTTCAACTGCAGCGGTTTCTCTAATATCTGACAAAGTAGTGCAGAATAGTTTTTACCATCTAATTTTACTGTGAGGATTGAAGCTAGAATGGTTGAACGCTGGCACACCTTTGCGGTGATTTTTGACACATCTTGAATCTGTGTAGAATTGCAATTTTGCACCCTTCCGCTCTGTCTAAGAGGCATGGAATGGTTTTGCTTTTTGGTCAGAAACACTAATTTAACAACACCGCATATGCTCTTGCGGTCTTCTTCTTTTGGGTTTTACCTAAATTCGTGCGGCAGGCGGCCAGCCAGCCACCATGGCGGTCCACCCAAGCCAATATATATAGCCGCCTCTGTTTCCCATTCAATTCGCTTCATATCACTCATTCTCCCTCCCAAGGAACCAACACTACAATCAACACAGGTAAACGAACAAACAACTACTATACTCATTTCACCTCTTTACGTATCGTGTTCTTAAGCTTTCGTTTCGTGTTTATTCTTCCATTTCCTAGTCGAATTATGAATTTCTGGCACTTTTGATTGGATCCGATTGTGAAATAAAGCTCTGAATGTATGATGGTTATGTGCTGCAATTTCAACAACTTTTGGTTGATATATATTCTGGACTAAGTGTTTGGAAGTTAGATCTAATTCGTCCGTCATCTCTGAAACTGCTATGAATCAATCGTAGGTTAGGTGCGGAGTTAAGGCAACGATAACATTTTTTCCTCTGCTGGTGGAATAATTATAAATAGAAATGCTATTTAATGAATTAATGACCCCGTGAAATGCCAGTTGAATGTTGAATTGTTTGATAACTTCAAGGTGGTCTAGTTAAAAGTGGTTGATGAGAAGATACTTCATGCTAATGCTATGATGTGGCTGTTATGTCATATTGCTAATTAGGAGTTTCCAGTGATTATAGGGTTGCATATTACCTACATGTTGTTAAGTTCTGCTGCAATCTTTCTCTCGAGAAAAATTGATTATGCTAATTGGGTTTTTTGTATGTGAAGGTCGTCCATTTGCATACACTAACTAGCTATGGCTCCAGCAACCGCAGAAACCATCAATGCTAGAGGTAAGTCTGCAGTGTGCTAACATATAGGCTTGGAATCTCTTATAGTTATTGAAATGTTCAATGTTCAATAATTTAACAATAGGAAGACTTTGTTTTTGTTTTAAATGTACTTTTTCCCTCCATTTGATGAAGAAGTAAGTACTTTTCCTAAGATGATTTCAGTAAATGGAACTTAGATTTCATAAAACTTGTAATTCCTAAAATCCACTTTAGTGTTAAGTTACCTATGACAAATCAAATGCATAATTGTTAGATATATTAAATATAATATATCTATATATAATTTGAGAGGAGAAAAGAGAAAGGAAACTTAATATTTATTACTTCTCACAATATCAAAATGCTTTGTAATGCAACATATTTATAGTAAAAAGATGAAAACAACAATTGCTAAATTTAGGCCCACTAAATGCACCACCTATTGCCACTACCAAAGCTACTCCACATGCTGCTGCATGCTTCCACATACCCACGTCCACTTGGTTTAATTAATAGCCATAACAAAAATGGGTGGGTAACAGTTCATTAAATTTTCTATATCCAATTCGTTAAGTTTGTTGATCATTTACTCTGACTTTTGACTTTTGTTTCACCTTGAGTTTCTTATTCTTTTGTCTGATCATTACTTTTAACTTCTATTTTGACTAGATGTTTGCATTGTTGGTGTTGCCCGTACACCAATGGGTGGCTTTCTGGGCTCTCTTTCATCATTGCCAGCTACCAAGCTTGGATCCTTAGCTATTGAAAGTAAGATTACTACCAAGTTCGTGTAGTTATTTTTTCCACTATATATGACTTCGTATTAAATGTCTCTCTGTTATCAAAAAATATTAAATGTCTCTCTTCTTCATTGTCATTTCAGGTGCTCTTAAGAGAGCGAGTGTTGATCCGTCTCTTGTTGAAGAAGTTTTCTTTGGAAATGTACTCGGTGCAAATCTGGGACAGGCTCCAGCCAGACAAGCAGCACTGGGTGCAGGAATACCAAACACAGTGGTCTGCTCCACTGTTAACAAAGTTTGTGCATCTGGAATGAAAGGTATGATCCTTGTTGAAAGCAGTGGATCTGCTTCCTAATGGATTTTCCCAATTGCCACCCCATCCCCTCCACCAAGCTTCTGAACTATTATATAAAATATGAAGGCTAATAACATGATTTATTTATTTCCCATTGCAGCAACTATTCTTGCTGCACAAAGTATCCAATTAGGCATCAATGATGTTGTCGTGGCCGGTGGAATGGAAAGCATGTCTAATGTTCATAAATACTTTGCAGAAGCAAGGTTTGTGTTTTTCTAGAGACAGCTTTTTACAATTTTGATATGTTAATTGAGCCCCAAATTCCCGTCAGCCCTTCCATGATCCCATGGGCCAAACAAAACGTATAACTGTAGTACTGTACAAGGGCTTACCTCCACCCATCCCATAAACTTGTTCAATTTAACTTTGGGGTTTCTGAGTGCTCTGAATATTAACGAAGAACAAAGTTTGAACTTCAAAATTGGCTTTTATTGAACAACAATGAAAACATTTTTCATTGTCCCCCACCCCCTCCCATAAATTCAGATGCCTCGTGTTTATAAATATATAAACAGAAATGTAACCTGTAATCAATTGTTTGGCTAGTAAATATATAGATTTTGTTTTAATAAGACTAAGAAGTGTTATAATGATAACACAAATTATGGCTGGGTTTTGAGTGGAACTACTTGTGTGTGTGTGTATAAATGTCAGTCTTCCAAAAAGTGGATCATTTGTTGAAAAATTGGTGAAGAATTTTGCTTTTAGTTCCAGCTATGGTTCACATCCTATGTGGATATGCTTCTGAGTAGGATGAATAAGTTGCTTTGAGGAGGCAAGCAGTTGAACTTGGGACTTAGTACCTACAGAGAACAATACGTTCTGAAAGTTGTCTTTATTCTAAGTATTGATAATCCTTATTTTTAAGGCACCACCAGGGGATTTAACCCCTTTTTTAGTTGTGCACCTAGTCGCTAGGCCCCCATCAAATGCCCGATGAGTGCCTAACAATGTTTACAACATTGGCAAATGGCAAACATCAGTTATGCCATTGTTTTTCTTTCCTGCTAAGTTAAAAACTGAGGAAGTTGACTACATTCTCTTAAGAGGATATTTGCTACCAAATTTCTTATGGGTTTTATTCGTCTCCTGTTAGGTTACATCTGTTCCCAAATGCCTTTTACATATTAAAATGGCTTTTGCAACCTATTGCCATGAATTTTCATAGTGGGGCTGGATTTTTCTATCTATATAGCCTTTGGGCACATGACTAAGTTTCCAACTTAGGGACGGGCTGTATCTCACATTTTGTATTCTATTCTCTTTGTACGAGAATTGCACCAGAAGTGGTATCTATCGTGTCTCATTAGTCATTTATGTATAACATGCAGAAACCTTTTATCTCTAAGTGTTAGCAAGTTGATTGAGTGAAGTTCTGACAAGCCATTTAATTTATTGTATCATATCATTGGCAGGTCAATATCCAACAACATATGGTGAATTTCAACTGCAGTGGTTTCTCTAATATCTGACAAAGTAGTACAGAATAGTTTTTACCATCTAATTTTACTCTGAGGATTGAAGCTAGAATGGTTGAACGCTGCAGTGATTTTTGACAAATCTTGAATCTGTGTAGAATTGCAATTTTGCACCCTTCCGCTTCTGTCTAAGAGGCATGGAATGGTTTTTCTTATTGGTCAGAAACACTAATTTAACAACACCGCATATGCTCTTGCGGTCTTCTTCTTTTGGGTTTTACCTATATGTAGTTTCATATTCTATTTTTTCCTCATATTTGTGTGAAAGAAACACTCTGAGTAGTTTACTTACAAATTTGGTTGTGTTTTGATATCAAGTTAGAATTTTAAAATGGCGCACCTCAAGTTTCAACAACTTAAGCATACAAATCACGCACCTTAAAAATGAAAATTACGCACCTTAAGCTTTAGGTTGACACTCCTTAAATTTCAACCGCTACTCATATTAAGCACAAAAGTCACGCACTTTAAGCACACAAATCACGCACCTTAGGAGGGAAACCACATACATTAAGCACACAAATCATGCATAAGCACAAAAATCACGCACCTTAAATTTGATCTGGATGCAAAAATTATCAAATTGCCACTGTATTTTTTTTAAAAAAAATTTGTTAATCCTGGACGTTGATTTAAGCAAGATCAATGGTTCAGATTTAACCGCACATTGGGAGATCTTCATCCCCAAATCAACTTCAACCCTAAATAAATAAATACTACGTAAATAAATAAGGGAAAGAAGATGAATTATTTGCATGTCTGTGTGGATCTTAATAAGGGGGAGAAGAAGGAATCATTCCAAATGGGATGAAGGATGAGAAATTACCATTAGGATCCTATTTCTAACGGTCAACTAATAAATTTTTTAACAAAGGACTAAATTATGTAAAATCAAATCAAGGACTAAATTGAGCATAAAAAATCATTTAGGACTAAGTTGAGTAAAATTACTATAGTCGAGGACTATATTGGGTATTAACTATATATATATATATATATATATATATATATATATATATATATTGAATACTACTGACTCTATTACAATGTAGTATCTGTTCATATACTTTCTCAGCCTATTGAAACACAAAGAAACAATAACGTCTCCACTGAAGCTCGAACTCACAACCTTCCATGGCTAGGCCTGACTAGGCGCTCTTAGTGCACATAACGTGCACCAGGGAGCAGTTTCACAAATATGGTGGGGTCCACACATCTGACAAAAATCAACGTCTTCCTGACCTAAATTACTCTCTCTCTCTATCTCCTCATTCTCTCTCTTCCGCATAGGATTACATTTCCTTAAAAGCGACACTAAATTAAAGCCTCTATTGGGGATGCTCTAAGTTTTAAAGTTATACACACAAAGATTCATACTTGAAGGTCACTCGTAGGTTCAAAGTTATACACCTCAATGTCTAGCAAAGCTATGCACCACAAAGTTTAAAGTTAAGTTATGCATATGAAGGTCACTCGTAGGTTCAAAGTTATACACCACAATGTCTAAAGATATACACCTAAAGGTCTAAAGTTATGCATATGTAAGCTCAAAGTTATGCACCTTTTAAGTTATACACTTGAAGGTTCAAAGTTACGCTCCTGGTTTAAAGTTATATACCGGTAAGTTCAAACATGTGCAACCGATGAACAAGACTTATGCACTTCAAAGTTAGGAAAAATTAATAAAATAGCACTGCATTTTTTTTTAAAAAATTTCCTTAATTCTGAGCGGTTGATTTAGATTAGATCGATGGTTGAGATTGATGCGCACGTTTCACCTGGAAAAA